AGGGGGTGGTGTTCACATCGAAGCCGAAAACCGTCTCGATGATATATCGGCCTGCAAATGCCCTTGACCCCATTCTGGAGTAAACACACATCAACGGATTCTATGCATATAGAATACATACTATATATATATATATATATATACATATATGTCAAACCGCGCCAAAAAGAAGAACACCTTCAGCAAAAGGCCGCCCCCAAGCTTTTCGGCTCACTTGAAGTCACAGGGAATTCCAACAAATGTGTCATTTTTTTCGGGCACACCCTTTTGCTCGGCTTTTTCGGGGAAACCAAAAGGAAGACCCACGCGTTTGACCCCAAAAAGGTCACACCCACCCACCCACCCACCCAGCTACCGACCCACCCCCCCACCGACCCACTCACCCAATTCGGGTTTTGGGGCTCCCGCGTCCGCCCGAGGGCCTGGCTCCAAGCCGTGAAACTGCAGCGCTGCAAGCTTCAGCAGGCCCAGCACCGCCGGCTTCTTCACCTCCAGCAGATCCTGCCGAAAGCCAGCCGCAGCAAGCAGCCCCAACCGTAAGCCCCTGAAAACACCCACACACACACCAAAAAAAAAGAGAAAGAAAACCAAAAGCTTGATTGGGTTGTTTCAAGAATGGGATTTGGTTTCCACATATTCCAGGCTCGGAGGATGTCCTCTCCAACGCCTCCGGAGACTCCGAATTTCATGCCCTGGCAGTTGGGGAACACCAGGCGCTGGGCCAACTTCTCGGAGATCGCTTTCAGCAGCATCCGCTTCAGCATGCCCAGATTGGCCGCCACCGCCAGCTGCGCCCGGTCGATGTCAAAGCGGATGTCCTGCAGCAACGGCCATGAGCTCAAGCACGAGCCCAGAGTCTCAACAGGTGGTTTCCTATTGCCTTCCCTTAAAAACCATCCCCAAAGGTTGTGCCCTCAAACAAGACCTTCAACCCCTTCGGAAACTTCAAACAAAATCAGGCGGAAAAGCACACGGCATGACTGTGGAAGCAGTGTGCTGGCATGACACATCACCCCTTGTTGGCCCAAGTGTCCGGCATACTCGGGAAGAAAATGCGGATGCCCGACAGCAATTTGTACAGCGAGTCACCAGGGCAAATCAATAGTTCGACGACGACATCGCCAACGATGAGAAGGTTGGTGATTCCCAAGCTCGCGCCGGTCAATGTCAAATAGAATGCACAGTCACCTCCACTGATCTGTGACCCGTACAACTCTTGGGGCCTGAATGAACCGAAGGGAAACAGCACTGAACATAGCAATCTGACACCAAAGGGTCCCACACCCGTTCACTTCGGTGTTAAATGTCCCACGGTTTGAACTGGCACCTGTGAGTCACCAAAAAACTACTCAAAACTGAACCTATGAGTCACCAAAAGAAGCAGTCCCTGGCCACACCTCGAAAGGTTGAAACCGTCGGCCATTTCTTGGCCAAAGCCATGGAAGGTTCAGCCCCAAGCCCTTCTAACATGGGATAACATATTCTGCTTGTTTGTTAGGTGGGGCCATTCGTGGTTGGCTTTTCAGCTCTGTTGCTTAGCGACGAATGGGTATCCCGCTTTTAGAGGCTCCCTCTTGGTTCGGCCTTTTCTTGGAAAGGAACCAAACAAAAAGCACCACCCACGTTGGGACCCCATGCCGATTGTGTTTGGTTAAATGGATGTCTCTTTTAGAGGCTCCCTGTTGGTTCGGCATCCTTTTCGGAAAGGAACCACAAGGACCACCACCCATGTTGGCCCTTTTTTCGGGAACCAAAAAACACACCACCCATGTTGGGAACCCATGCAAGTGCGGCCCTTTTTTTCGGGAACCCCAAAAAAGACACCGCCCACGGGACCAAATCTCAGCCGGTCGGTCCCTGGGCCAAGCCGCTGTCCCACTCCAGGCGCGCCGTCACCGAGAAGCTCTCGGGCGAACACCACGCCGCCCGCGGCGCCAGCAGCCGGGCGGCCCGGGAGCCCAGGCTGGAGCGCCGCTGGTCCAGGCAGCACCTCGGAAACCCTTGACCCCACTAACATCAACGGTTGTTTGGTATATAAAATATCATATATATATATATATATATTACATATATATTACATATATATATATACATATATGTGGCTGTGGCTCAAAAATGGGGTAACCCCAAAATGGCTTGGCCTGGTAAATGGAAACAAAGACTAAAACAACGCGTAACCCTGGCCCCTTAATTTTGAGCCACGCCCAAATGTCTTCGGTGCTTTGGAGATGCGACTGGGAGTGAGAACTGCAATATGACCCAAGCATCCACAACTGGGTGCGAGAGATGCAAGGAATGAGAAATGGAATATGACCCAAGGAAAACCATCCAACGGGTGTTTTCCGTTAAGGGGACCCCCTGGGTTCATTCAACCACATTCCCTACCGAGCGCCAGCAATCCCTGGCTACGGCTTAGGGCTTCCAACGGATAGGAGAAAAAACACATCAATCCCCCATGCTGATTGGCACCATTTTGCTACAAGCCTGCAAAGCTGCGCAGAAACAGTGGGACCACAAAAAACAAAACAAAAGCCAGTCAGCTGCCAGCTGCCATTCAGGCCGCGAGGTACGGCGCAGGAGGTGCGCGCAAAGGCTCTCCGAACAATCCGCTTCTTGCGATCTCACCCGCCAAAAGGTCGAAAGGTCTGGAGTAAAAATGATCCAGCCAAGGATATGAATGAAAGAGAGCTCCACTTTCCACCAGCCCCCCGAAAAGTGCGGCCAAAAAAACATAAAGCCAACTCGGTGCCCCAAAAACGGGACGCCAACATAGGCTGGTCTCCAAGAGGAATGAACAAAATGGGAATCGACAACAAATGGCGCCTGCACTGGTTTGCCTGCAATCAAAGCAATTCCAAGCTGGGTGCTGGGTGGTTGCCTTTTGGTTTCCCCTAAGCCAAGCAGGGTTCCAAAAACAAGCAAGGGGAATGAAACCGGTATCTACGGGTGACAATCGGCCAGGGAATGAAATTCAAACTAAACCACCAGGCAACAAGCCGTGCTTTGCCAAGGCGAGAGCTGGAGGGTTCGGACCAATGGGACCCAGGGACCCAGAGAGGTTGTCTCATAGAGTTGAAAACCTGAATTGATTCTCTTCACGCTTGTGGGTCCAAAATAGGTTCCCGAAACGGCCCCTTGGCACGAGCCAAAGACTTAAACCCGCGGTTTCCCTGGCTCGTTCCTTTTGAGCCACACCCGTGTCATCGAGGGCGCTTGTTGAAGGGCGAGGGCAGCTTGCTGAGGGCCAGCCGGATCGAGGGCTCCATCTCCTGGGCCAGCGTCTTGGTGGTGCTCGAGGAGATGTGCGGCCAGAGGTGCTCCAGGATGCTGTTGAGCGCCAGGTTGTCCTCAGGGAAGGGGTCGAAGGGCCATCTTCAAAAGAAAAACAGGGGAGCAACAAACAGACAAACAGATGGACAGACGGAGAGAAACAAACAAACAAACAAACAAACAAACAAACAAACAAACAAACAAACAGCGGATGGACAACCAGACAAAGACAAATGGATAGGCAAATAAACCGCTGAGTGAACCTGCTGCCGGATCCGTCCTCTGTAAGTGGCTTTGACCGAGCGAAGGCCGCAAGCTGGCTTCGCAGCCTTGCAGCAAGACGCCCACTCTCTCCAGGAGTTGTTCCACATCCCGTTTTTCCTTGAGACAAGTTTTTGGAGATGATGGGCAATCACATATCCTATGTAAAAAGAGTTGTGAACTCATTATTTGACCCACAGAACCCAAAACTGCTTTACCATGGTTGGCCTAGAATGACTATTCAAAAGTTCATTCTCGTTCGTATGGTCGTCCGGCTTGCCCTGCCAAAGGTTCAACAGTCAGAAATCACAAATTCCTGAGCAGCAGAAAGCAGAAGAGTGCAAGTGTTGAGCCCATCAACACATTGACAACTTTGGTTAGCAGAGCCTTGCAACAGAAGGCATGGTTCGCTGCATCTTTGTGTCGTGTCGCGCTGTCAGCTGGGCACTAGCCGATTTCGGGCTCTGCCAAGCTCTTCACTTCCTGTTGCTCAACTCAGCTCAAGGGCGTGTTCCCACAAACAGCCATCCCTGTGCCGTGCCGAGGCTCGAGTCGCATTCCTTCTGGAGCTTTGCGGCTTGAAGCGATGGACTGGACTTGCAGCAGCCCATGACATGACGAAAGGCGTCTTGTACAACTGCGCGTGTGTCTAAATACCGTGTGCTCGTCAGGCTTGCTCCGTGGGAGTTCTGCTCTGCAGGCTGTGCTGGGCTGGGCAACTCCTCCCAGGCTGGGTTTCTTTGTTGCCTTTCATGGCGTTGTCCAAATGCTTGAGACATCGGGGATCGTTTCGAGACTGGAACGCATGCATTCATGCTACAGGAAGTCCAGTCCACCTCGCAAGGGTCGTAGTGCTTGTGAAGTAAGTACCTCAGGAATTTTCGCCCAGGCACCTTCGAGCGCACTTCGGGTCGCTAAGGCCAGTGGCAATTTGGCGGTGTGGGTCGCGACCTCCGTGCCGCCGTGCTTCCACAGCTCAGCTCAAGTCACAAAAAAGGCGCTGGCGAGCGAGGAGGAGCAAGCCGTGTCCATCGTCATGCTGGCCCCCTGCGCTGCGTGAAGCCCGTGGCCGCCACAAAAGGCGCAGCGCTGACTTGTTGGGGGAAAACCGCTGATTTCAAGATTTCGTTGCCAAGAACAAATTCGAACGAGCACCGGGAGGCTCTCTCTTTTTTATTACAAGGAAACCCACGACTGTCTTTGGGGAAATAAGGAAAGAGAGCACGGCTCAAAGAAAGCGAAACCGAGGAAAGCGAATTTGCCGCATTCGCCTTCAAGTTCATGCAGTAGTTGAAGCGGTTGGAGGTGATGGCGTTCGCCCCGCTGGAGGCCGCGAAGCCACCTGCGATGTCCTGCGGGTCATGAGAGTTTCACATAGCGGAGCCATGGCCTTCTAAGTCCGTTGAGTGCGTTACAGTTGCGTGAGACAAGCAAATGTTTACTTTACGACAATGAGGTATATTTTCAGTTTGTGGTCGAAGACCAAAGGCTGAGACATGGCAGAGTGAGCTTTTGCAACGAGTGACATTGCCGACAGAGGCAGCAGCTTCAGCGGCTACTAGAGCAGTTGAGGTGGTGGTAAGTCGACCGCCGACAGGTGATGCAGGGAATGAGAAATGGAATGACCCCTCACGCTATTTAAATGGCGGTTTCCTGTAAGGGGACTGGGTTCATTCCCTCATTCCCTGAGCACCAGCAAGTTGCCTTTTCCGGTTTCCCAAAAAGGGTACAGCCCCATAGCGAGCAATCACATTCCGAACTTACAGCAGCTCGCCTGATGTTATGAGAGGATGGGGATGGGTGATAGTGAGGAAACTGAAAATGTGCGCTTTAGACATACCTGCAACTAGGAAAGTTGTGTTGTGTTCCAACCCCTTCCCAAGGCTATGGCTTTCTTTTGTTCAAAGAGGATGGTGGGTCCCCCTCAGAATCTGTCGACTTGTCCAACTAGCAACCCACCCATTGTCGATTTCGGGTTTGCTTCGGGATCCTGCCATTTTCTCACACAACTGGCGCCCTTTCCACAGAACACAGCCTTTTGCCCGCCTTAGGGAGGCCGTTCCACTCGTTCTTGTCCAGGCCCACAAACACGCCAATGTTCGCGGGCTTGGCCTCGCATGTTTGAAGGTAATGCGACACGGCCATTGAGCGATGGTCAAACTCCTTGGCCCCTTCGGATATTTGTCTAACCTCACGTGACTGCTGTCCATACCAGCCAAAACTGAAAGGGAGAGTTTCATTATACATGTCCATCTCTGCGCGTCATGTTGACACACAGGCCAAAGAAAAAAAGACACAGCAAGCGCTTGCCTGCAGCATCTTCTTAGTCCAGCCCGCGCCCTGCAGCGAGATGTACGAGACCTGGCCATTCTCCGTCTTCCCCCCCCCCCTTTCCGGTGCCCTCTTGGTGTCCGAACGAACCCCCCCCCCCAAACAGAACCCTTGACCAAAGGGAACCCAATAGCCTCGCATTCTGTCCCTGCCTCAAGAACCTGGCGCTGGGTGGGGTCCATGCCTGCGCAAGGCGCGCAAGACGCGCCTTGGGCGCGTAAGGCGCGGCACATGACCAGGTCAAAAAAGAATGGGTTTGGCAAGAAGAGGATAAAGAGGTTTGGGAAAAAGAGGATCGGACAAAAGAGGTTTGGAGAAAAAAAGGGCTTGGAAAAAGCCGGGTGGTTCGGAAAAACTAGGTGCGCAAACCGTTTGTGCCCATAAGAACAACACCCTATGTAACCATCAAGCCCTCCCCGTACCCCGAAATACAAATAAGCTCCCAGATCCCAACACAAGTGCATGAAGTAGTGAACCCCTGAAACACAAAGCCCAAGCTCCACTAAGCCTTAAACCATTCCAACCTCCATGAGATCCTGAACCATGAGACCCCACAAGGCCTAAACCACAAAGCCGCAAGCCCCAAACCAAACCCGAAGCTGTAAAGCGTGCCATGAATCCATAAACGAAGTCCTACTCGAACCGCAAACCTATACGCAAACCCGAAACCACGACATAAACCATTCAGCCCTCAACGAAACCCCTAGTCATTGGGCACTGAATTACGAAACCCTGAGTCCTTACCAATAAGCCCTTTAAATCTTTATCCAGGAAAGCCCTGCACCATTAAGCCCATCCTAAATCCTAAGCACGTATGCGCCCTGCCTCGCGCTTCTGCGGGCGAGATATCGAAAAACTTGCAGTCGAAAAGCTCAATACCTACATCGTATGCGGCATGGAAAAAAACGCTCCATCGGAAAATGTGAAAGTGCGTCTGAATTGAGGGTGCCTTCTTGGGATTGGTATCTTCCTCCATTTAGAGGCAAACCCGCGCAAAAAAATGGCGCACCATCTGAGAAGCCACCATGGCAAGTGTATGACTTGCCGGAGGTCTGATCTGCGTCAGGATCATAGTAGGTGTCGCAGTCCCACCGTGCCTGAGGATGCCTCACGTTTCAACTCGTGGCGGTCGAATGAGGAAAACCTCTCACAAGAGGGGCAACCTACCCTCCCACCAAACATGGAACCTGGCGGGTCCTGGAAGACCATTTTTCTTTTAAAGGGACCGAACGTCAGGCTTCATGTTAATTGGTGGGAGGGTAAGTGTCCATGAGGAAACATATAATATCCCTCCTTCGTGTGAGTGTTGATGTTCATTGGGGGTTTTGATGGGAGAGAATCATCATCATGCCCGAGCAGTTTGGAGGATGCCTGCTTGGCTCTTAAAGAGACATCAACAGCAAGCCGTCATTTGAGAGGGTGCATGTCCTTGTCCCAGACAACCTACTGTTACATTAGTATCCAAACCTCAATCAATCCTGCAAAAAAGGCCCTCGGGCGCAATTGATGACTTGGGGGTGTCTGATTCTTTTGGAGTTGGTACCCCTTCCGTGGGTCTAAATGGAGACTAAAAGGAAAACCGAGGCCATTGGCGGGGGGGGGGGGAAATGGGGGGGGGTACCCTAAAATGGCCATGGG